TGTATATATTAAGGTTTTAATATAATAGGTACCAAAGTTTCTAAATAAGAAGCAATATATATTCAAGATACTTAATCCTTACGAATCTTGAAAACTCATAATTTAGACAATTAGTCAAGTAAATTATATGCTCGTGCTTATTTTTTTTTATTTGGCATTCATATGTATTTTAAAATTTTCTATGTCTATATATATATATATATATATATATATATATATATATATATATATATATATATATATATATATTAATGTATTAAGTATATAGCACGCATTATGCTTATCCCATAATCTTTGCACCAAAATATGAAGGTAGTGTCTCGGCTCATTAAAGCTTTCAGACATTATGAAGTTAATTACTTTGAAATTATTACTGAACTTCAAATGCTTTCACATTCATATTCCATATGAGAGACACTATTATATGGAAACTAAATTTGGTTTAATTAATTAAGATATTAAGTATTATAGCGATAAAAAAATTTATCTAAATAGAGATGTAAGATACTATAATTATTTTATTTAAGTGTTTTATTTGACAAAAATAGTTTAGTTGATCAGTTTGTTCAATAATAGATTATGACATATTATTTACGAGTATTTTAGATTATATTACTGTAAAATGTTTAAAACATGCTGAAAATATTCTATTAAAAATCTGATACTTGCTTTTTATTTAGTTATTAAATAAACAAAATTTGTTCTCCCGTTGATTCATATATGTTGAATAACATTGATTATTCAATAATTAAAAAATATGCACGTATGTGCAAGTATAGCAATATCAATAATATTGAAAAATGAATAGAAAATAAAATAAGTCAATACTATTTTAGACGTTTTCCGCATCATAGACATTATAGCAATATAAAACACATAAATGTTCTGATTCGAACACATGACGAATAACAAAAGGATCAATGAATGTAAAAGTGAGATATGTTTTGGCCACGAAAATGGTATAACTTGTAAATCGGAATAATTATGAATAACAGAGTAAAACACGACAAAACAACTCAATAATTGAGATAGCAAAGAACTGCTATTCACACCACATCAATTATCTGTCACGTAATAATAGAACTAACACACTAGTATAGTAGATGGCAAGAAAAAAAACATGTGATGGAAAATCAACCGTGCCGCGAGAACAAAATTAGTGGTTGATTGGATTGCATGTTCCGGACCCGACTCTTAACTTTGAAAGCTTTTTTAAATTAATACTTAAATTTTACTAGAGTATAAAACGCCAGAATTCCACAAATACTCATAAGTTATAGGAGAAAAACTATAATCATATTTCTTGACGTCCTCTGCGCGACGAAATTTTATGTACAAACAAATATTAACTTAGGATGATATAATAAGGTCTGGGTAGGTATGTACATATAAATGTACATGTATATATATAGTTGTATATCTGTACTGTGAATATGTGTATTTATTTCGAGTAAATAAATAAGTTTATATGTATTTTTTTGTACACAAAGTTTGGATTGCTTGATTGTCTAATATATTCGCGAATGTATTTTCAATAAATTCAGTATGATTAATAGATCTTTACCAAATGCAAAAGCCAAATATATATATTTGTACATAAATATTCATTACACTTGAATTCAAGAGACGTATTTAGAAGTTTTCAATATATTATTGGGATCGTTCAAGTATTACGTAAACAGATTTATTACAATTTTTTACCCCCCACTCCCCTTTGTCAGCAAAAGTAAGCAAAGTTCTTACCCAAAATAAGCAAAATAAGCAAATCAATAACCCCCCCGCCCCCTATAGTGCTTACTATAATACTTGAACGGCCCCATTAACAATAAACAATGAAATATAATAATTTCTTTATAATTATATTTAATACAGATACAATTATGTGATGTACTTTTTAATAGTAAAATTTATGCCATGAGAATATCTCTAGCTCCAAAATATGTTTTCTCAAATTGTTAAAACATCTAAATTTTATATTTTAGTAAGTTAGTCAGATATTCAAATGTGAAATGTAATAAATAAATGGGAAATTTCAATAAAAGAATAAATCATGTTAGTTGAAAGTGGCATTTTGCCTTAAGGAAAATGCATGAAAACTTCCCAGTACTTGTAAATAATCGACTTCATTAATAATAAATAAAATTACCAACTGTTGATTTCGAACATAGAAACATCCGAACTAAATGTTATTCAATGCGATTTTCAAAGGATGTCTTCCACATATAATCTTGTAATATCTGTAATAGTATTAATTAAATTGATCTAATACACACCACGTATATTCCAAACTCGCTACTTATTATTTAAATCTATGAAAGTTCTGTTATAATTCAACCACTTTTGATATGGCTATAATATTTTAGTAAATACGTTTACACTATGATCTCTATCATCATACAAACTTACATAAAAAAAATGTCAATAATTACAAAGAAACGGGACGGCCAATCTTCACCAAACACTAATCAGAACGACTTCCAAAGGATGAATTTCGAACGGTTTAATTTCAAAGGATTTTTTGCTATTGTTAACGAAAACTTTTACACTTTTCTACTTATTCTAAAAAATACATCGATTGATTGTGACATATAGAGCTAATCAATTGGAGCAAATATCGATATCCATCAGACGGCTTCTAAATTTTTGAAATCGGTGCAGTCATTTCTGAGAAAATTTTTGTGTTGTGTATATATATATATATATATATATATATATATATATATATATCATAAAGCTTAACTATGAAGAACGTTACACCTCCGCTGGGGGTGATAAATCTGCTGAAATGGATAGACCGCTATCAGGAGAAGCTGTAGAAATCGCTATTCTTTGCCGTAGAAAGGAAGAATTGTCTAATGGGACATCGCTCCGCATAAGATATACAACGCCGGCGGCATCGACGTAGTTATAGCGCGCCCCTTTACTGTATTGTACTGTGTCGCAGGCACAGAATCGAAAACTGCGGTACGGCCCCTGTGTGCACTTTGCTCTAACGTCAGAGTCGCGCATGTACATTATTAGAATTTATACATGTTTGTCCTGCCATTAGTTTTGTAAACTTTTATCAAACTACATAAACAGATTTTCTTTAAATAAATATAATAAATTAGTCGCACGTGGCATTTTATTTCAAGGGTTTTGTTAACGCCTCATTCCCAACCCTGGTCTAATTATTATATTTTATTATCTTCATGAAGGATAGCGATAATAAACCCTCATCCCTTTTTATATAATTTAAAACGATAAAATAATCCCTTTCATTGTTACGCATTCTGTCTCAAAATCGGTCATCATATCAGTAATCCATTTTTCCAAGAATTTTAATCACCTGTCCCTAACTATATCATCCTGCAATTAATATATTTCCAAGAAACTCGCATTACGTGTACCCAGTTTTAATTCTACGAATCATGCTATCACCGACCAATACCTGATTGGTTGACAAATGTAACAGCTACTGATTGGATCCAAAATTGTAAGGGGATGTCACTAATTCTACAAAATGGACCAATCAGAAAAATGTATAAAATTGTAAAATCTATATAATTTAGTGTCAACTAAAATTTTATATAACATCAGTCAGTCGTAAATTAACACTCAAAGCTATAACATCTAATTAAAACTTCAACTATCTAACATATCATCTATCAGTCTTAATATTCTTTCAAATATACAATAATTAAACATTTATTTATCATCTTTTATTTTTAATATTCAATCGGTCTGATATAGCCAATAACTAAATATATCTGGTCCTTCGACAAAGTGCAAGTGTTTCAATAGAGTTCGGTAGCATCTCGCCGGATCACGGACTTCTTAAACACTTTTAATCTATCTTAACAACATACTTTTTGATCCATTCGAACTGAATGGTCAATTTAGTAAACAGGTATATTTTAGTATAGAAATTTTGAAATATCGTTTTTTTATATTTTCAAGTATTCATATCATATTTCAACTTTTACTGGTCTGATTTACTTAAAAATTGTTCAGAAACTTCTTTATAGACTTGTCTTCAGTATGAACTACGATCACGCCGATTTCCTAAATTCCAATTTCTATCATCTATAAAAAAATCTAGAATATAAAAAAAAATGTTGAAGAAATCCGTTGCACATATCATTTAAAGAAAAAAATACCGAATACCAAAAAAAATTGGATCGTAAATTTTTAGTTTTCATTATTTTCTTAGTTTTGTGTAGTTTAATCGCCAATTTTGACTTAAATTCGTATTCAGCGATATTGTATTCGCAATACAGACAACTTTTTATTTTGTGGACCTGTGTTGTTTTGAAATTAGATCTGTTTTCTTTCAATTATTCATTGACTAATTATTAATTATTGATCGCATCATTATTAGCTAAACGTATATAATATATAACCAGTCTTTAATTTTAATATAATTTTGAATAAATTACTTCTATTTATGTTCAACCTGCACTTAATTGAGATTCACGAGCACACGTTAATGATAAATAACAATGGTAAAATGTCTGACGCACTAATGTGAGTAATGAGAATTAATTGCTCTGAAGGGCAAATAAGATCTTCAATCCAAAAATACTGTATAGTACCACAGTATTTATTAAATGACGATTATATATGCATAGCTTTAATCTTAAGATCATTAAGAAATGCATGATGTATTTACCTTGCCTTTTTCTTATGTCAGATATTACAAAATTACATTAATATCAAGTTCGAAGCAACTTGATTAGAGTTTAATTATTTAATTAATAATTTAATAACAAAAATAATTAAAAATGTATGAATAATTTGCCTTTAATAATAATATTATTAAAAAATAATTATGTTAATGCTTTAATTGGGGCAATTGTTGTAGATATTTTAATGTCAATGATATAATGATTAACGGCATATTAACGGACTGTCTAATACTTTATATAGTGCACTGAAAATATCGCGAGGCTTTTGTTTTGAATTAGTAATTTTACAAAAAAACGAAGAGTATATTTAATGTGTCAAAGTTAAAAAACAATATGAATTTTCATAAAATACATATAAAGCAGAATTATGTAAATTCTTATGCTTCTTATCTTTGGAAAGTTAAGTTTAAACGCACATTATGTGGAGTCAATGATAAATGTAATAACGATCACGGTCGAACGCAAAAATCTTTAGAAAAAATAAAGCGACATAACACAACAAATACAGTTACTGATTCTTCATCTCAGAACAAAGCAGGAATCAAATTAGATGACGGGAAGATAGTATCCATCATAGGGGCGGTAGTGGACGTGCAGTTTCCAGTATATCTGCCCGAAATTTTGACTGCCTTAGAAGTCAAGGATCGTAAGCCACGTCTAGTTTTAGAAGTGGCCCAACATTTAGGAGAAGGTATGGTTCGAACTATAGCAATGGATGGAACAGACGGATTGGTGCGCGGGCTGCCTGTAACCGATACCGGAGCGCCGATAAAAGTTCCCGTTGGCGTTGAGACTCTCGGACGTATTATGAACGTAATTGGTGAGCCCATAGATGAACGAGGTCCATTTAATACCCCCTTAAGATATCCAATACATAACGAAGCCCCGCCGTATGTTGAAATGAGTGTAAATCAAGAAATGCTCGTAACAGGTATTAAAGTTGTAGATCTGTTAGCCCCTTATTCAAAAGGTGGAAAAATCGGTTTATTTGGTGGAGCTGGTGTAGGCAAGACCGTCTTGATAATGGAGCTTATAAATAATGTGGCAAGGGCTCACGGAGGTTATTCAGTTTTTGCCGGAGTCGGCGAAAGAACGCGTGAAGGAAATGATTTATATAATGAAATGATAACAAGTGGTGTAATATCTCTGAAAGATAAAAGTTCTAAGGTTTCCTTAGTCTACGGACAAATGAATGAACCTCCCGGCGCAAGGGCACGAATTGCACTTACTGCTCTGACTATAGCAGAATACTTTAGAGATATAGAAGGACAGAATGTTTTATTATTTATTGATAATATATTTAGATTTACTCAAGCTGGGTCTGAAGTGTCTGCTTTACTTGGCCGTATTCCTTCTGCTGTTGGATATCAACCTACTCTAGCCACAGATATGGGTAGTATGCAGGAAAGAATTACGACAACTACCAAAGGATCCATTACATCTGTACAAGCTATTTACGTTCCGGCAGATGACCTAACAGATCCCGCGCCTGCAACTACATTTGCTCATCTCGATGCTACAACCGTATTGTCGCGCGGTATTGCTGAATTAGGAATATATCCTGCTGTAGATCCATTGGACTCTAGTTCTCGAATAATGGACATCGCTATCCTTGGCGAAGCTCATTATAACGTTGCCAGAGAAGTACAAAGGGTACTACAGAATTACAAATCATTACAAGATATAATAGCAATACTGGGAATGGATGAATTATCAGAGGAAGATAAACTAATTGTAGCAAGAGCACGAAAAATTCAACGATTTCTTTCTCAACCTTTTACAGTAGCTGAAGTATTTACTGGCCACCCAGGTAGACTAGTAGCGGTAAAGGACACGGTGGAGGGTTTCAAGAGAATTTTATCTGGCGAATTTGATCACTATCCAGAGATGGCTTTCTACATGGTGGGCACAATAAGTGAGGTGACTGAAAAAGTGAAAATTATGGCGAAAGAACTTGGCGTAGTGATTTAACATGTTTGAGTTGAATTAATATAGAAAATTGTCGAGCAACATGTAGTTGTATTCTTAATTCAAGAAAATATAATATCTATATAGAAATAAATATAGTTTCAATAATAAATGTATATATAAACACTTTTTTCAGCAGAATAATTTTTTTGAGTTTTAAAATTGTTCTTAAAATAGCGCACATGAGTCGTACTACCTATGTATGCAAATAAATATGTTTCAATATTATATATATATATATATTTTACAAACACTGGATGTTTTGAGCTTTGAGCAAATACTTTGAGTTTGAAAATTGTTTTTAAAATGGAAATTTTTGCTCAAACTGGAATAAATATACTGTTGAAATATTGAGAAATGAAATGATATGGTTGTCTTTATTCTGAAAGAAAATTGTTTATGGCGGTACATCGAATGTTTTCTTAAAAGTTAAATATTTTTTATGTATTGCTAAAAAAATTTACGTTTTATAGAATTCGAAAAAATACAATGAAAAAAAAAACAAATAGAAACTTGAAAATAAGTATCTTTTCTGTTTTCTGATTCGTGCACGTCAAAATGTTGGAGAGTTATATACTATTGCGACCACAAAATTATTGCGAGTCGGTTGCATGCGCTTCAGTCTGAAAATGAAGTACATTTGGTCCACGTGAGCCACGGACCGCAAACAATTGCAGCCGAGGTCGTATATACATAATGCGGAGATACGAGATTTTCGCATTCTGGCGAATATATAGTCGAATTCTTTTTCAAGTGGATGTACTTAAGAGGGTATAGAACAGATTGCACAATTCACAAGAGTAGTTTATTTATTTTATTCGCTGTGTAAAAAACGAGCTTGATTTAGGATGAATGTCAAATGAAAATGAATTAAAGTAGTTTTCGTTATAACATGTACCAGTGTTTCCAGATTGATTCACGATTCTAATAGGTCATATTTCTTTATCGGGAGTTTAACTATCAAGATTTAGTCCCTAAAGGTTAAATAGAGATGTTGCAATAAAAATTCAAAATTACTAAATAAAGGCAATGTGATTAAAGGCTTTGAACATGGCGATGGGAGAAGGAGTAAATCGAATCAGATAAAAAATGATTTGAAATGGTTAATAATGTTTTTACAGTTATCGTACATCAAAAATAAATAATTACGTTAGTGTGTTAACCAACTTTGCCTTTTGACAAAAAACCGTATATAATATCTCAGAATTATTTTCTCTATTTCCAGATACCGCTCCAGTGATAGTAGTGCGAGCTGAAGAAATTTTAATAGTCTTATTAGTTTTAATATTATGGGTTGCTGCCATAGCTCTTTTCTTCAATCGATGGGGTAAGATTCGTATGTTGGAACCTTATCAGCCGAAATTTCAACAACAACATCGATCCAGTTGCCCTTTGGTCGATTCACAAATACAAAATGGGCCTCAGGTCAGTAAGGAATATAATGCAAAAACCATTTAAAATCAATGTCAGAGTGATTCATAGAAATAATATTAAAGAACTCTGCACAAATCATTTACAATTGTATTTGAAACTATTAGAATTCACTCTATGATAGTCGTTTTTGAAATTAATAAATAATTATGTATGATGCCATACTATTAATGTTAACAATTGTATTATATTAATATATTATTGAGTAACTACAACAAAATAGTTGAGTGAACTATATAGAATTGCAGAACTAAGGATGAAGCTATTGCATTGAGATGTAATTTTGCAAGGAATGTTTGACTTTGTTGAACGTATCGTTCAGCTGAACGTGAGTTCTGTAGTAAAATCATTTTCAAACTATAACAGTTATTGCGACTGAATAATGGTAAGTTATTGCGACTATATAGGTTTATTATTTTTGAGAACACAATTAGAGACGATTCAATGACTGTCCTTACTGAAATGTATATAATTAATAACATTTCGACAATTTTAGAAGGCATTTTAACCGTTCTTTCGAATTGCGATATCGCATCGCAATTGTATAGTTTCAAGTAAAAACTTTTGCTTGATATCAGGCTGTACGAAACGCGGGGTTGAACCCGTTATTCGTTGCTGCAAATGCAAGCGCTTCGATCCCCAACACAGAGAAACATAATAATATAAACGTGACATATTTTATTGAAATATAAATAAATGTAAATTGTTTTTGTAATGTTTTAATGTCGTTTTTATGGTAATATCGAATGGAATTTTATGAATCCCCGTAATTCTATGGTCGTAAACCCGGGAAATATTAATTAATTAAATGGGTTCAAAACAGACTTTATAGCATCCCAAACATCCATCGAACGTATATTGTCCCTGCACGGAAATATCCATAATCATTTTAAATTGCCCCCGTTTTATACGAGAGTCGAGTGAATGCAATCTGCGCATAATACCGGTATAAACATTCGGGAGCGGGCCATGAAATAGTTTGATAAGCGGAGCTATTTCAGAAACACAAATATCATAGATAAATTGTTTCACAAACAAACAGACGTGACTTCTGTCGAAATTGAATTCGATGCAGTAAATTATACAATGACCAATCAGTATCAAATATATATATATATATATATATATATATATATATATATATATATATATATATATATATATATATATATATATATTGAAATCGACCAATTTAAAGTACTTACCAAATTCCTTCGTTATTACACCATATTATTATTACTTGTAAACCATTATTGCAAAAAACGACTTTTTCGCCTTCCCCTCCACTTCCTTGGCGGATAAATCTTCTATAAACCATTTTGATCTTGAACATGTATTTTAATCTGCAAAAAAAATGTTTAAGTTTTAGTTACATTATCAATGTTTTATGGATTTTGTATTCTGATCTATTACACAGAATTTATTGGCAATACATAATTTAGAATAATCCTTCGAAATATACTCAAAAGTAATGGAATAACACTATTTAGTTTAGTATTAAATGATTTTTTTTACTAATTTCTATATAAAAGTATAGAATAGAATTTCAATATTTTTGTTATTTTTCTCCTCTTTATTTATTTTCACTTACTATAACGTAGTTAATATTTCGCAAATTAATCGTGTAATCCGGTAATATTTCAAATGATTTTGCGCCTGACCTGAGCTTCTACAATCTTTAGTAAAAGTCCCTGAACACAACCCAGTTTTTAGGTCAAGTTTCTATAAGATTGATGATGTTGAAAGTCATCGGATCTTTGAATTTTGGACCAATGATAGGAAAATAAATTGCCTTTTGCAATAGTAAAAAAGCATTCTTAATAAATAATGCAATATTATTTCAATCAGAGTGAAACAGTTTGCTGAACATAATAAATATTTTCAATAAAATTTTTATATTATTCAAAAGAATCCAGAAATTAGGTCATGCTGTTTTAATGTAATGTTGGCGTTGAAGTCACTGGCAAACAATAACAAACCAAATTGTGAAGGGTTGTGAAATATTTTATTTATGTATTGTTTATTCAAAAATGGTTTAATTAGAGTTTTCAAATTGAACAATATTATATCGCTCAGTAATTACAATTCGAACGATGAATTTAAATAAATTGAATTGTTTGATTATTGATTTAACTAAACAAAAACTTTCTTTTAAATTATATTAAGTTAGGTCTGTCAATTTCACTTAAGGTAATTGCTTGAAATTCAGTATAGTGACTTAAACAATAAAAATTGAGCTTTTGTAATTTTAAAATTGTACAAGTTTTGACGATTTTTTTAATTAAATTACAACCAGTAACATTTTAAGATATTCATTATCAGATAACATTTAAGTATGACTATATGAAGACGTTTATATAGGAGTTTTTATATGGGCTACCAAATTTAATAAAAAATTAATTCAACAGTTAATCACGAAGAAACGGCCCGTCCGAAAATACAAAAAATAGTCCAAAATCTCAAATGATCAAATGATGAAAGTTAAGTCAGCACATGTTTAAATGTTCAAAATCGGTTCAGAATTTCAATAAAAACGTTAACAAATGTTTGTGCACTTTCCTGCCAATTCTAAGTCTTGCAAAACGAATCAATGTTAGCCGCGCTTATGAAGTTTCATCAAATTAAAATTAGATTATTGAAATCAAGGCTTTTAAATTGTTAAAATTAGTGTCGACGAAAGATCAAATTTTGGTACACATATACTTATACACAAGCATATACCTACGTATTTCTCAATTCGTTTTGAAGCGATATCAAAAATATAAAATTGGCAAATTGGAATTCTTTGCGACCAAACTTTACCTTCAGGAAGTTAGTAACCTACTATTACTAATTATATTGACAGTAATGAATTCAAATATTATTTTATGTAATGTCTGTATTTTGATAAAAGAGGCATTACAAATTCGAGTTATTTCTATTTCGTCTTCCATAATTTGTCACAATAAAAAGTGTTTAGAATGCAATTCTCTCGAGACGTACGTGCGCATGCCTAGTATATATGATCTTGGAATTACTTTATATGGAAAACATGTAATGTTGGCCATAAATGTAATACGTATATGGTTTGCATTCCCATCCACGATGGTTGAGAATGTCCCTTCCGGTTCGCAAGTGTGCGGGGAATAAAACACGGACACTTTTATGCGCACGTAGTCGCTACGATTTGCATTTTGGTTCGCAGTCGCTCTCAGGGGCGATATTGTATTGCGAACAAATTGAGTTCGCACCGCTGAGCCACTTTTGGACATTTATATATTTGACAATTTCCATGGGACTTAACGTTGACGGGAGTATTAGAAAGGATCGCCTCTGGAAATGACAACAAGAATTGGTTAACAAAAAGTTACACAGCGCAAATGTGTGCTGTACTCACTTCAGAATTCACAGCAAGCAACTTTATCTTTGAAGATTCATCCCTTTTAAGGTTTCGTATCCACATAAAACAACCGGTATATTCACTTTTTTTCTAATTGTGTGTTATTATAGATATCCTTCTTTAATAATGGAATATAACTTATCTTGTAAAATTCAGGTTAACGATTTCGGTAATAAAAATTTTATCGCTTGGGTTAAATAAATAAATGATATAGTAGCAAGCAAAGGAATTTTGAAACTTTTATTCATCTCTTTTATGAAGCAATTAATTTTTTAATATAAGTGTGTAGTAAACAGTTTATTGTAGTGTAGATTACAACTATTAACTTCCTAAAGAAAAAGTTCATGTTTTTTCTAGAAATCCGATTTGCTAGCTTTAAAGTAGGTAAAAAAAATTGTCAACGTTCTCATCAAAGACCCTGAACCGAATTTGAGAATTCGTTCTAACTAGTTCTTGATAAAAATTCAGAACGCTTCTCCGTAATTAATTGTCGACAAAAAAATCACGATTTGAATGCATAGTAATAGAGTGATTAAAAACTTTGAACATCCTAAAATGTTGTAGGCCCACGAAAATAGTTTTAAATATAGTTTGGAATAATTTAGGTCTATTTCGTTTCAAATTTAAAACTTTCTAACTCAATTGATTTAGGCGGTTCTTACATTACGATACAAGAGATATCGGGTTACACCTGCATTAATTTTTAATTAAGCTATCAATGAGTAAATAATAACGTCTTACTACACTGCCTATACAAATCTGTGATTCACGGCTCAAACAATATTTTAAATCACAATGTTGTAATTTACCGATCAAAAAATAAATAAAAAACAATAATTCATAAATACATATTATAATATATATATATATATATATATATATATATATATATTTCTGATTCCATGACGTATATTTAATTCGCTTCGCTTGTAGTTACTACCCCTATACTCAATATATTTTCGTTTCTGTAATCGGGTTCGCATAGACGATTCATTCTCGTTGCGGTTGCAAAAAAATATGATCAAAATCTAGATCAGGGATGAATTTCAGAATTTACGATAACTTTATGCGATTGAGGATACGGTACGTTATACCCGATTTCTATGACTTGCGGTTTTATTTTCACGATTTTCTCCTATTGGATTTCCACTTTCTATTTTATTATCTAACTCCAAGCCGGTCATCGATTTTATCCCATGCCATGTATTTCATCGCCGAGCATATTGTTCGGCGATTTCAAAATTACATGACTAAACTGGATACAAGCTAATTAGTCAAGAAGACAAGAACTAAACTTACGCGAACCTTAACTATTCAGATACAGGTTTGAAAAATAAACCATTTCAAATTTTAGAATAATCGTTAGGATCATGTACTCCGTCGCTATGTAACGTTTCATTAAAATAGTCAAAGAAATTTTTGTAATATGTCATTTACAAATAAACGACCTGACTAATTTTTAACAAAAAATAATGCATGACTCAACTCACAATCGTTTGAAAATTTCTTTGTTTTCAAAATCGGTTGCAAATATGTTGGCCAAACATTTGACACTGCTTATTATAATAATAAAACGAATAAGGCAATACATGGCTGATTCTAGTTTAGTTATGATTATTATAAAGTTGAAAAGAAATAAAATTCTAATATAGGAATGCTTGGCAGGCCACAGAAAATATATTTAAAAGGCCTAATGAAGCTCGAGGGCCGGCGATGGCGCATTCTTGATCTATCTTTTCGACGATCCAATGTCGCCTCAGAGGGGACACTTAAAATTGAATTGTATATTCTGGTATTTCATAAATACAAAAACAATCTGTTTGGTTTATTAATTAAGAAAATAATTATTGTAAAACTAGATATATGTTATCTGAATGTTATATAATAACAGCCAACTCTCCGATGACGCGATGAGAGCGTACCATGTAATATTCGTAATGCATTTTATGGAAACAGCTATCGCGTTGTATAGCATGGTATTATGGCATATATCACAGTAATTGTACTGCATTGTAGACCACTAAATTCAAAAAACATAAATTTATTGAATAGAAGAGTTTATATAAAAACATAATAAAAAATGAAAGAAGAGCTGAACTGGAACACCATTTTCCAACAAGTTTTTCAAGCAGCAAATATTTCTGAAATTTCTAAAACCAATGTCATAGCTATAAAATAAATAGGCATTATCATCAGTGCTGGATTTACAGTAGGGGCAATCGGGGCTACTGCCCAGGGCGGCAAATTTTTGGGGGCGGCAAAATTGGAATAATGTGAAAAAAAATCTATACAATATAATTAACTTTTTATTAACAACATTTTTAATTTAAGAAATATAATTAACAAAACATAATACGATAGAAATGCGAAATTTGGGTTGAAATAACCGATTAATAAAATTTATTATTTTGCCTTGTCTGCCACTCTAAACGTAAATTATCAATTTGGTTAATAAGTTATCAAATTTGGAAATTTGGCTAATATAAAAATCCGTAAACAAGCTGTAAGTTTAAGAAAAATATGTTCTTCAGTTCTCGAGTGCTCTTAAAATGACGAATTTGTGCACTAGTGACGCATAGCATTGTGCCTTAAGACAAATTACTGAAACTTCACGTATTGAAAATTACATTTTATAAAGAGCTTTAAAATTTTTTGAAAAATGAAAAAAAAAAGACTTGTAAATCACATTTTTTATATTTTGAAATTGCAATTGCAAAGCAATCGAGCTGCGTAGCTGTTTCAGAGAAGAAATATCGAAACTCAATTACCATTTTCTGAAACTGCCTGTGCTTGCAATCAATACAAATCTAATATTTTTTAAATTATTCAAGTCGATTTCGAGAACACGGATCAACCGATTTAAATGATTCAATTCCTATTGATAAGGAGACGTGCTGATTAGTTATTGGCCAAGGCAGGTCGAACTGTTTTGAAGATACGGGCCAAAATGCCAAAAATGATAATTCAGTTTTTGAGAAAAGAAGCGTTCAATATCATTCAAAAAAATTTACTTGTATTGACAGAATAAATAACTGCTTAAATTTGTGGGAGGTAAGTTTCGATGAGCCAATAAAAAAATTTGAAAAAGAAACATTTGGCGGACAAAAGTGATCATTAGACATATGCACATCAAATTATCATATATTTTATAGATATTTTAATAATAAGTATAAATTTTGTTTACATATATATGCCTTAAGTAACATTCTTTATCCGTTATACTGCGACGCGGCGCTTACGCGCGTCTTTATTTTGTCTCTACGCAGCTAAAGCAGCGCGATTGCTTTAAAATAGTTTGAAAGTTCGTAAAATTTCAGGGATGGGGCGGCATTTTTATCAGTGCCCCAGGACGCCAAATTTCTAAATCCGGCCCTGATTATCACTAACATATTGCAGTTATTATATATAACTAATTACAGATTTCATAGAATCCGCGTCATCAGAGCATTGACCAAAAAAATGTAATATTCACTACTTGAAGTATCCACGATTATCATACATATATATATTTATATATATATATATATATATATATATACATATATATAGATATACATATATATACATATATATATATATATATATATATAAATAATTTTGTATATATTAGCATTCTGATAATATTATTTATTACCACCATTATTTTTGCCATGCAGTTTCAAATGTGTCATCCGGGTCTGTCGCGTCCTTCGTTCTCTAAATGCGGGGCGTACAGTTGCCCGGAGTCGTCGGTGGTTCCGCCGTCCTTCATCCCTCGGCCCCGGCAGAATTCTGTATTCGTTGGTTTCGGGGGACCTGCAACCGCACTCTACGACGTCGGGCAGGCACATCCGCCCCGGAAGACGAGGTCCGCGGTGGACATACACAGTCTCGTCCTGCAGGAATCTTCGCTTCCCGTCATGAGGCAACTTGGTTCATCGTACGCCACGCATGTTTAGCACCACGGTAAGAATATCACATAAAAAATTATATAAATTTATTATGTAATAAACACTTACCACTGCGATGTCGTCACCACGCGCTGCAAATACAGAATGATATGATTCCTTTTTGGGACCCTTTATATAAAGTCAAAAGAACCAAAACTGAATTGTTACCAGTATAGCGTGTATAGTTTCGGGAACAACCAAAAATTTATTTACGAAGTAAGAAAACTTGTTTTGAGTAAATACATTTCTATAATATACTAGTCATTTCTTTATTATCTATATATACAGTGGTACATTGACACATGAATTTAATACTTTCCGTTTCCGGGGTCGTTACTAAATCGGAGTTATTTTTATGCACTTTGGATGTGATTATAAATTGAACTTTTCTATAAAAATAATTAATACGTCACTTTTGAAATCGATTTAGCAGTTTTTGAGGAAACATTGATAAAAGGTCAATTCGGCTCACATATACACTTTTCCAAATTTGGTTTCAAACGATTAAGAATGAGTTATAAATATCGTGACAACATAAAATTAGCAAGTATTTTTTCGAAAAAAATAAACTGACCATCAATGTAATATATAAAGCCAAAATATATAGATTGATGTTTGCTATTATTCATTCTCTTTCAAATTCATTTGATAAAATATGATATTCGATAATTTAATAAATGATCAAAAACAATGCAAATGCATCAATGGTATAAAGGTAAATTCAATAGCATAGAACTATAAATTATAATATTAAATAAAACAATGTGTCTGAATACTAAATTTGTTTAGTATTATTTGTTTAAAATATATTTTAAACTAATATATTTTTCTTAAAAATTTTAATGTTGAATGATAACTATACTATACAGTAGAACTCCAATTATCCGAACTCCGACTATCCGAATCGCCGATTATCCGAATCACTTTCAGAAAAAAAATGTCCAAAAAAAGTCTAAGTTACAGTTAAAACAGCTTACATTGACGGAGATGTAAAAAACAATGATTTTTATTTCTAACCTTGTACATAGGTACATTTTATTTATATTTAAAACATGTGAAAATATCATGTTTCTTTCATTTAATTCAATAAAAAAAATAGTGCAATATCAAAACGTAATTTTTTTTCTCTCCAATTGCAATTTAAAAAAAAAACTCTGATTATCCGAATATTTGATTATCCGAATGGGTCCCGGTCCCCATTAATTCGGATAATTGGAGTTCTACTGTATATGAATTCGAAGTTTATCATATGAAAGATAACATATGAATAAAAGTAATAATAATATATGAGTACCTTCAGAATCCTAAATTTGACTAATTTAATCGATTTTATGTAATAATGCTGATAATGTTTATGGGGCACATCAATCAATTAAAATTTGAGAAGCACAAATTTTCAACAAAAACTGGTGAAAAAAAAATCAAACCGCAAAACATAATAAACGAATTTATGATAATTACTGATTGGTTTTTAAATAAATGAATACTGGAAGATTAATTTGAAATACGTATGCAAACCAAATGTATGTACAGTTTTAATACGTAAAATTAAAAATAAACATCTCATTATACACGTGTTGTTACATTTCTTAAATATTTAAGAAAGCAAAAAGTCTGATAGTCTTAATTACTCAATATGCAAAAAATTAACATTAAGAGCGTGTTGAAACATTGAAAGAAATTAATTATGCGCCTATGAAAATGTTGATCGAGTTGAGAGAAAAAAATAAGGTTCAGACTTCTTAAAAATTCATATTTTTTAACGAAACTTTTTGTATTTCATTTCAGTGAACGTGAGATTATGAATAATTAATCAAGTATAAGTAACCGGCGATAAAATCAATAGAAAGCGTTCGTTTTACTAAGCGAATAATACATATTTCAACGTTTAGGCATACTGCTGTTATATATGATTATAAGTACTTGTGTGAATGTGCGATTGAGACACGTTGGTGATTGAGATATGTTAAAGAAAATGATTTTACCCTTTAAAATAATTTGTCGATATATAATAAAAAATACGTCACAATATGGATACAACATTTCTTAATTTGCTTCATTAATTGATCTTGTTCTTATGAATTAAAACAAAATACTTTCACCACCTCGCAACTGTTTTTGGCAGGTAAAGTACCTATATAACATCCCGAAATTTTTAACGAGTATTTGGACAGACTATGCCTGCAGACATTGGAATTCAAATTAAGCTAGATTTCTCGGCGGGCAATTTATCACTGAAAGCTTTACAAAGACTATTGTGTTTCATTGATCGAATAACGAAATAGTATATCATTGTTTTTTCAGAAACTCCGACGGACACGTCGCCCCAGTGGTTTTCAAATGGAAAAGTAACATCGTGAGGAACAAATGGTGACAGGTAATATACAGTTCCATAGCTCTTCCGTCTAAACAATAAATGTTTTTGACTGTAAAGGTGAGATATGTTAAAAACTATTAAAATCTTCAAGACGCAATTAATATGCAGAAAAAACCACGAGGAGTTGTTAAATTCACTAGGCATTTGATTGATTCTAATTAACTATAAATCAATTAATCTGTATGATATTTTCTTAAGATAAACGAGCCGGCTTTTCATACACTCATATAAATAGCTGAAAATTCGTTTAGAAGGATGTTTATAAATACAAGGTTTCAATGAAGTTTCAAATACGCATTTAAAATTAAATTACTTATGAAAACCCAGTTCTATTATTGAAGAAAATTCGTTACAGATTCAGTTATTTTCTGAAGTTGTTCATAGTTCTAACTTATATTATTCGACAAGGTAAATAATAAGTTTGATCGCTGTCGTGAATACTATATTGCCAAATTTTGCGGACCATTACTGTTACATATTTGCTCAATCTATATTAAAAAAAAATATTTTTACCTATAATTTCAGTTGTGTAGGAATATTACTCGAAATTATGCGTTATCAACGCAACAAAGTCCTCGATTTCTGATTATAATATAGAAATCATATCAATTCAGTGCCGCAACTAATGAAATTTTATGGGATCATTTATTCGTTCATATCATGTAATATGAATAATGTGGTAGAGATAATAAATATGCCAAAAACTAATAATAATGAAAATAAAATAGAATTACATAATAATAATAAAATATGGATAATGTAGTTCATATTAATTGTATAAACACACTCATAAATTATGTAAACTGTATTAGATTAGAAACTTTATGATTAGACATTACTTGTAGTACGTAGGTAATTCATTATGATCATTAACGAAAACAGCCTTCAAAATACAACTTTATTATGTTAGAAAACAATAGTTTTTGCCTAACTAATTATGGCAAATCAATTTATCGATCTAATAATTACGTAGTGTATATTTATATGCTCGCATAATAAATATGAAAAGCTAGACTTCCGAAGTGTACTAATAAATGAATTTTTTTGTAGCTTACTGAACACGTATATGTTATTATTTATATTGGATTAAAATAATATTTCTAAATTCTTTGTTCATAAGTATAGCTATTTATTCTAGAGGCGATTCAAATAATTGAAATCCTGAATAAAACATTAAAAGCTTTGGAAAAATGAGTTTTTAATAAGAAGGTATAATTGTGATTTGTATTGCTCATTTTTATTTTGAAAAAAAAAAAACAAATCAGGATTAAGCTTGTTTCAACAGTTATTTTATACATTCAATTTTCCGCAAGAACTTCGGAGGGTAGTTTTTGGTAAACATTAATTTGATGATAATTGATAAAATAAAGGTCCAGGATATTATTATTACAACCATTACTGTTATTAGAAAAATAATGATATAATAATTATAGAAAATTCATAAATAAAGTCATCTGACCGTCCTACTATATATTGTAATAAACTATATTGTAATATATTATTAGCTCACAGAATAGCAACTACCTCTGCTCAAAGAAAATTATTTGCATGCAGACAAACTCGCTGTTGCAAGAGATAGAGAACATATGTAATGTAAACATAATGTATGTAAAAAAAAAATTCTGTGCCATAAATTCATGAAAACTAGCTGAAGCTTTTGAGGCTTTTTATAAAATTGAATTTTATTTATGTACTTACTCTAGATCAGTAAGAATTCTGAGAAGGTAATTGGTAGTGAGTATGATAAACCCTTGATTGTTGACAGTATTTTCTAACAAGAGATGATGTTTCAGATTTGTATATTATGTTCTCTTGGCCTATCAAATCATCCTGTATTGCTTGATACCAAAGTTAGAAACAGTATGTTTGTGTAAAGCCAATTTTGATATCTCATCGACGTTTTGCTATAAATGGCTGCACCTATTTCCAAAATTTAAATCCATTTGATTTACTTGAGAAGTCCTCCTAACGTTTCGATCCATTGCAATTAGTATGAGAGCTTTTTCGTTCACGTTTTCGCTAAAAATGTTATACTGGTTTTGAAAATTTGAAAACCGTTCTAAATTTGTTAATAAATATTGGCTGAGCCGTTTTTTTGTTATCAATTGTTGAATCCTTTTTCTGAAGGATTACGTTGACATTCTGCTTCAAACAATGATATTCTACGCATATAATTATCTTGGGACCAATTGAACTATATAAAACGTTATTGTTATTTATATAATTTATATGCATGTTGCAATTCGTTGTTAAAATGTAAATATAAGTATTGCATTACTATGATTAATAATGGAAAAAATTAAACAATTTCTTTGCTGTAGAGAGATCGACTTTCTGCGTTTTGTTCTTGAGCAGAATAAAATTATTGACTTTATTGAACGAAATTGCACAGATGTGGCGTCATCTCAATTGTCAAAACCATAGCCAGACTTATCTATCAATGCAAATAGAGTCAGAGGTAGTTTAGATTTAAAATTTCATTTTAATGGCAATGAGTGACAAAATAAATATTAGTTTTGAATGAGCATAATTCTTCCATTCAATGTAACTTCAACAAAGTATGCTTCAAACCATTTAAATAATTCTTTTTCATAACATAATATACAAATGTTATATATAATCAAAATTCTGTTTGCTAATTTTCATTAAAATCAATGAGTGACTTTTTTGAGTAATATAGTTGTAATTTCTTTTATTATAGTAAATAAATAATATGCATTTAGAACAGTTTTTCACTTCAAAATATATGAAAAGTCATAGCCTTACAACCATAAATTGTGGAATATGCTTATGCATCAAAGCATGTTATGGTACATTCCAAACAGAAGCAAGATTATTTATGTCTTTTCAAGAACTTTCATATAACTGAGTTGAAGAAACTGAGTTATTATTATTAAAACACTAAGTATTAAGCAATATAGTTTATTTCTCCCATTTAGTTGAGAATGCGATTATTTTTAAGAAAACTTAAAGAAACTAATCATAAAATTTGAAAGTAACATATAAAGAAATTTTTCATCATTGAACAAATCCTAAAAATGCTGTGCTGTGATGTCACTCTCATCAATACCGAGCATTGCAAGATCATCCATTTCGGGATGATCTTTTTTATCAGAAATCGCTTCATCTTTGGCTTCTGCACTTTCTTGAACTTCATCTACTGGCATAGGCGGAGGCACTGCTGAAACTGACGTTTCATAGGCTCCAGTTGGTAATGCAAATGTATAATCTGTATAACTTTGAGTTTCCATTTGATAAGCAGGAACCATCATCGGCATTGGTGGAGGTGGAGCCACAGGATTTTCATCATTCTTATCATCACCTTCTTTGCGTTCTCCGGGAAAAATTATGTCTAATGCATCTGCAAAGTCTTTAGGTAATTCTTTATTGGGAGGTGCAGCATTAATAGGAATCTTAATTTCATCTAAGGCAGACGGAGATTCAATACCAGGAGGGAGTTCTTGCTGAGTAACAAAACCAATAGGAGGATCTTCATATGAAATATTTGGTGGTGGTGGAGCCATATCAACAAACATTTGATCCGAATGACCTGAAATGAATGGAGCAGGTGGAGGCTCCATTGAACATTTGATGGTACCTGCTTCCATGGCTTTCTGAATTTGAGCATTTATCTCATCCCGCTTCTGAAGAGCCTTCTCTAATCCAGTTTTTTTATCACCATCATCATCATTTTTGGGACTGTCATCTTTTGGTTTCGATTTAAACACAGGCATACGACCAATGAATGGAAGTTTTTTGTTTGAAGCTTGTGCTGAGTTGGATCGTTTGAACTTAGACTTTTCTTTCTCATCTGAAGAATCTGCATCTGGATTTTTATATTTCTTTTTCTCATATTTTGTTGGTTTTGGAACTGGTGGAGGATTTGTGATAATTCCTGCTTCTACTCTTGATCGATGTTCAGGAGATCTACTTCTATAATGCCTTCTATCTGGGCTTCTAGAATATCTTTTATCATAATAGCGATTTCTGTAATCCCCTGGAGACCTTCTACGGTCTCTAAAATCAGATTTAATTGGTAAGATAATAAAAACTTGTTCTTGTGATAAGCAAAGTTGTGCGTGGTTGAATTATTAATTGATTATTTTATTGCTGTAGTACATAAAATAAAACTCAAAAAGATACCATTTGTAGCTTCTGTTGGTGGTTTTCAATAAAGTTTGAAACAAAACTTAATATTTTAAGGTGCTTTTTAAATAAACAAAACACTAAAATATTATCAAAATTAAATCAAGTACAAAAATAAATAAGGATGAGTTGCTTTTTGAAACTGAATGATATATAATGAACACTTACCGGTAATATGATCGATCTTTGTAATAATCTCTATCTCTTTCCTTTTCTCTGTCTCGCCTTTCCCTTTCTCTTCTCTCATTTTCTCTTTCAGCTTCATATTTTTCTCTGTCTTTGCGAGCCTCAGCTTCTTCTTCAGCTTCGCGCTGTTTTTTTGCTGCTGCTTCAGCTTGTTCTCTTATTAAAGGTATAACAGAGGGTTGAGGTGTCACTTTCTGAAACTCTGCTTCTTTATTAGCTTCTGCTTCTGCTTCTTGACGCATTTTCAATCTGGAAAATATAGTTAACAGTATAGTCAATTCAATCATGTTTTAATTTAATTAACTATTTACTTATGAGCAAGCTATAATAAATAAAAAATAAATATTATGCCAGGATCTTGTCAAATTAAATTTGAGCGTCTACCATAAAGAAAAATTAATCTTTATCATAAACCTACCTCATTCGTAGAGCTTCAAACATCTTTTTGTCACTTTCAGTCAAAACGCCTTTATTAGCCATCCATTGCATCAACATTTTATCATCCCGTTCTGGCTTTTGTGGGCTACTAGTTTTCTTCAAGGATTCTTCATTTTTACTTGTCTGCCATTTACTTTGTATTGACTCTTTCTCAAGTTCTTGTTGCTTTAACTTATTTCTCATAGCAACACGAATAGAACTCCCTTTATCTTCACTCATTTTATCTGAACTATCAGTTTCACTATCAGAAGAACTTTCTGATGTTGAAGATTTCGACTTCTTGTGCTTCTTTGACTTCTTCTTACTCCTCTTTTCCTTCTTGGAATGTTTCTTTTTAGATTTGGGTTCACTTACTTCTACAGAAGCAGAATTTTGCAAGAATGGTGGATCTTTCTTGATTTTATCTGGATTAGAATTACATGATCGCTCATAAGCTTTCTGTCGATCAGCCATCCAATCAGTTTCCCAATGAGGATTTTGTTCCGTAAATCTCTGTCAAAAAAAAGAGTGAATTTAACAGCAGCATAAATGTTTCGATTAAGCTTCTTATTCTATTTCTTATTTTATTATTATTATTTTCCAGCAGTATATTTTAACAGTTTTTTGAAATATATTTACCATGTAAGATTTTGCATGACCTTTACTTTTAAGATGTGCAGAAGCACAATGTAAATCTCCAATCCATTTATTGCAGAGTTTGCAAAACCATGCCGAAGAAGCAATAAAATGTTGTAATCCTCGAATAGGCAAACGCTTGGTTGCAGCGCCAGAAACTGGTGCAGGTTCCTCGTCATCTTCATTTAAAATTTGATGCCAAGGTGCTTCCAAACCCTAAATATTCAATAAATAACATTTTAAAATATGGAATAATGTTTAAGGCACATTTCACAGATTGATATACTAACAGGGCCAGTTTCCATGTTCAGCAAATGTTCTGGATCATGTAAATGTTGCAAATATTCCTTAGCTGTCTTAGGAAATACATTGCAAGTTTGACACCAATGCATCTCAGGATCATAATGTATGTAGTTATAGTTTTGCTTTGAGCTTGAACGATAAATGAAATTTTAAAACAATTGTCTATATTATCAAAATATTTTTTGATTATCTTAACTTTGTAAACTCAATCAAGGGAAAAGCATATTTTATATATAACAAAAAATACGGCATTTAATATTTGTAATAATTTCATCTGTAACGTTTTCATAATGATGAAAAAAAAGTTACACATCAAGTTTCTTTAAGAAGGAGAAAATGTTAACTCCGCATGATGGTTCTAGACAGTTCATCTAATTACTATCATCACATAATCACCTCTTGTCAGAAGAAAATGATCTCTCCCCATTCTTAGTAGATCTCTCAGGGCTGCTGTCAGATCTGGCATCAGATTTTCTCTTTTCATTTTCATTCTCCTTTATATCTTCACCAATAATTCCTGAGAGCATATCAATGACATTGTTCATTGTCTTCAGTTTGTTGCTGATCTCCACCTAAAAATATATTTAATTTGAAGTAATTAAAAAAAACAAAGAAGTTACTGAATAAATTTGCATATGTAATATACATACTATTCTTTAAATAACTATACATAATGGTGATCAAAAAGGCTTCAAGAAATAGCAGAAAATTATAAATATATATATATATATATATATATATATACATAATCTAATATCTATATTATATATATATATATATATATAATCAAAATGATACAAATAAGAACATAGATACATAATTAAAATTATAATTTACAAAATTTTGCTACATAACACTTTTTTGCATAACTAATATTCAAAAGTGAAATTATGCACCAACAATACATTGATAATGAATACTGATTTTATTTCATTTTATATTTCTTCTTTTCTGGCACTGAACTTCTTTGGTGATCATTGCACATTTCCTCTCAATCTTCATATTTCTTTCACTTAACATTACAATAAATAGAGTATAACCACAAGTAATACAAATTAAATAAAACCATTGAATTTCTTTTTGCTCTCAAATTATTAAAATAAAATATTTAATTTGTTTTACTTTACAGAAGCTATCTTCTACAATCTATATTACAAAATACAGTACAATTAAATTCATATTGATAAATTAATATATAATATATTTGATATTTGCACCCATAGCTAAGCACAACACTATTTTCACTTATAATTATCATTCATCACTTTTAGCTTGAATCACTTCAAAATATTTTCACAAAAACATAAAAACATGATTGAAATAGTTTCCTGCTTTGGATGAACAGTCTGCAAAATTTTCTTTCTCTGTGATATCAACTGTAAAATAATTATTTCAAATAAAAAAAACTCTGCGTAAATTACTATACCTGAAGTTTAGAATTTTCTTTCAGAAATCTGTAAGTATCGGGACTAGGTGGAGTTCTCGTTGATGCTTTCAATTCACTTCTTTGATCTTTCAGCACTTTCAACTCACGTTTTAAGTTGTTCACTTTGCGCAGATACTCATCACGTTGCTTGAGCAGTGTCACTCTTTGCTGTCGTTTCTCAGAAGCAATTGCTGCTATAAGAAAAACCATAAAATTCAGTTACAAATATAAATCAAAATAAGTAATACGTTTCAAACTTATTACTTACCAAATATTTCCTTTAATTCAGAATTAATAATTTTACTATAGTTTGAATATAATTAGCCACATGAAGTAAAACTTACTCTGCTTTATATGTAGTCTATCACAGAACAAACAAATTTGTCAATTAAATATTTTTGTAAAACTAATAAAATATAAATAATATTTGTATTTGGTATAGTAGGAAAGTTTTTTTCCATTTAATATCTCTTCCCTGCTGATTTTCATTTCACAGGCCTGTCTTACTTAAATTCAAAATAAAAATATAGAATAGATTGTCATTTCAAGTTGTAATTCACATAAATCACAATCTATTCTGCTCTTATTGCTCTATTATACTCAAAATCAAATATAAAAACCTTCAGAAATAATAAGTACCTTCACGTTTAATTGTATCAGCAGTTGGCTGAATTTGTGCAGATTGCTGAGCTGGTATTGAGACCCATTGTCCTTCTGCAGTTTCTGGCTGAGGCGGTGCAGTAATCATGGTTCCAATCATTGGAGGAGGATGAGCTGTATTCGGTGCTATATAATTTGCACCCATATAAGAATTTGTAATAAACGCTTCATTTCCAGGAGCAGGTATATACGCAGGAAATTGAGGAGGCTGTTGAATAAAATTTTTTTAATGCTTCTGCTGAATAATTATAATTCAGATTATGTGTATAATAACTTTCAATATATGACTTACTTGATTTCCATAAGCTGGAGGCGCCTGCGTATATTGTTGTGGTTGATAATTATTACTATTATAAACTTGAGGACGATCCATAAATTGATTATCAGATTGATCTCTATAGGATCTTCTGTCATATTGTTGGGAATCACGAGATTGACGAGACCGTTTAGATTGTGGCGGAGAAGGCGAAGAGGGAGATCTACGACTTCTGTGGGATGACCTCCTTTCATAAGAATCCTCCCGCTCATAACTATGATACATAAGCATTTAGATTCATTTAGCAACTAAAGACAAACTAAATGTCTTAATTTCATAACCAATGTTGAATGAAATATGGTGTTATACCTGACATTTACTTAAAAAATTAACAAGTTATTGATACTATGATATCAATAGAAATAAAGCAATATGTATCAAGTAAGTTACAGTTCATTAATATTACCGTTCACTATATCTGTCCCTCGATCGTTTAGGAGACCTGTCTGAACTCCTATCGCGATCATGTTTGTCATATCTATCTTCAGAACGCTTTGATCTTGAAGGAGAGGATATTGATCGTTTTGATTTTTCTTTATCAGATGTATTCCCAAAACCAGAATCTTTGTAAAGTTTTGATTTTCCTATAAATATAAATTTGAATAAAATTTGCTTCGAGTAGATATATAAAAATTTACATACCTGTATTGGGAAAATCAAAATCATCCTGCGGTCCAACACCGGGTGGAAATAGTGACAAATTATCCATTGTTTGTATTCAACAATCTAACACAAAAACTCGAGCGTACACATTGGATGTCAAAATCCTCACACTTCTTACATACGCGTTGCCACTCAAGATTTTTATTATTATAATCGATTAATATTATGAATTGACTAATTAAGATTTATAAAATTAACATTTTAAGTTAATAATAAAATAACGTTAGCGTCATAGATTAATGAAACAAAAACATGGCTGCGTACGGCCGGTTATGTAGACATTTTTATCTAGGGTTATGCATATGCAGTAAGGAAACAGGGGTTAGTCGGTTAGTCCCGCGTTGCCATCTTCGAAAAATCCCAAAAATCCGTTAAAGTATATCCGTTAAGAAAGAGACTACTTGTTTATCTATGACTGCAGCCATAGATAAATAAGCATGATGATCTATGGTCTTAACTGTCTCTTCATAAAATTTGACGTTTAACTTGACACTTTACGATGCAGAAATTAAAATATGAATAAAAAATCTCATATTAGAGATGACAAAGAATTTTTATTATCATATCGTTTCAAGTATATTATGTTTGTGGTTATTTATAGCTTTATAAAGTTTAAAACATAATCAAGAAGTTGAATTGAATTAACCTACATGCACATTTAAAAAAAATCCTTTTATCATATGCATTATAATTTTTTAGCACTTTTGCCAATTATTTTATTGATAATATTTATGATAGTAAAAATATAAAGTATTTCAAGATGATGATGCAACATATGAAAGAACTGGAGCAGGTATTATTTATGATTTTATATTTTCACATTGTAAATTTCATACCCAATATTTTAAAGGAGCCTTTTAATACTGAAGAGTTTATCGATCGATTAACCTGGCGAACGTTGAGTGAAAGTGGTTCACAGAAATTTGATCCAGATTTGTTACATGATGCTTTTAGACAAGCTATAAAGGACCTTAAAATATTACAAGAACGGCAACAAAAAAAATGTGAAAAACTCGAGGCACAGGTCATAGAAGAAGAACAGAGCCATGCTCAAAAGCTGGTTACATTATTGGATAAACATCAGGTTTGAATATTTTTTTACAATCAATATAATTATTAATTTTAAAATGTACCTGTTAACTTTTATTTTTTAGAACTCTGTACGAATGTTTCATGAATTAGATGAAAAAATTAACTCAGTTTCAACCAAAGTTCTTCATCTTGGCGAACAATTGGAAAGTGTAGATGCACCTCGCTCTAGAGTTGCTGAAGCTCAAAAACTTATGCACTACTTAGGCGAATTTTTAAGTCCTGGGCCAGTTCTTGCACCAATATTTATTGATAAAAGCAAGGTAGATATTGTCCATCATCAGTGATTGAATTGATAAATCTTATTTATAATTAAAATGAATATTTTTTAAAGCTAAGTGAAGCTGCAGATATCATCCAGAAACTTCACTCAATTGCACAAGATTTGCCAGTAGAAAAATTTGATTCAGCAAAAAAGAGAATTGAAGCAAAATATGATGAAATTGAAAGAAACCTTATTGAGGAATTTGTTCGAGCTCAACAAGTAGAAGATATAGATAAAATGAAAAAATTAGCTAGTGTTTTATCTCATTTCAAAGGTTACTCTCAATGTGTTGATGCATACATAGAACAAAGTCAAATAGTAAGTCTAAAATTCACACATTCAATTTGAATACAATATTTTTAAACCAAACGTTTACGACTTTTAGAGTACTTATGGAGGAAAAGATATTTTCTCGGGAATTGTTCCTATGTGCGAAAGAAATAATAAAATTATTCAATCTGTATTTAGTAGTCCACAACAAGTTATGGGTAAATTTGTGTTAAATATTTTTCATTTAAAAATTCAGCAATTTACAGAAAGCAAATTGTCAGATAAGCATGACCCAGAAAAATACCTTAAAAATTTAAGTGAATTATATTCCAGGTAAATATGTTAAATTTACTACAAATGTTCAAAATTCAAATTATATATATATATATATATATATATATATATATATATATATATACAATAAGCATACTCTCACTTTATGAATATTCATTTTAGAACTGTTAAATTATCAACTGATTTATCGAATTTTGATTTGGGATCAGAGGATGATTATTTGTCCAAATTAACAACAAATATATTTTCAAAATATTTGGATTCTTATATAAACAATGAAATGAGTTGTTTAAGACAAAAGTGCTCCCAAATATTACAAAAATTTTATGATAGCAAAAAACATGTTAAGAAACAACTTCAAAGTGGGGGGTATGTTATAAATTATTACATTAGAAATAAACTAATGTTGAAGATTATAAATAATATTATAATTTTATAAGATTTCAAGATTTACGAAGAGATCTTCAAGCTAAGCTAGCAGCAAGAACTAATCTAAATATAGCACAAATTGAAGACTATGGAGGAGAAACATTTTTATCGGAGGAGCTCGCTATCAACATTCTGCAAGAATCAAAAACAGCTTTGAATAGATGTTTAATGGTAGGATCTAAGAATTCTTATTACATTTGGGTTTTGAAATTTGTTTTGAATTAGATATATCTAAAGTAACAAATGTATTAAAAGTATTTGGTTTTGTTGAGTCGATAATCAAGCATAAATTTATAATTTTAGTTATCAAAAGAATCTGAACTTCCCACAAATATGGTATTACTATCAGATCTTCTATTTCACTTTTTGCTGACTGAGCATTGTGACTACGCTCTAGAATTAGGATTGCAAGGCGTTCCATTAGGAGAGAACAAGACACCTCCACAGATTTACTTTTTTGATATTATCAGACAGTGTAATACAATTGTTCATTTGCTCGAAAAACTTTTGACTGATAGTGTTTTACCAAGCATTGTGTAAGATATTACTCCATGTATTTTGTTGTATATATATATATATATATATATATATATATATATATATATATATATAATATCAAAAAAACATGATTTTTTTAAAATATTAATAAAAACACCATCTTGAAACTTTATATAAATTAAATTATTTTTAATAAATAATATTTTTATTTGTAATAGCAAAATACTGAATATTTTTTAAAAAATCATACAATGTTTTGTGTTTCTAGATCAACTCCAAAACATGCAGATTTTTTGCAAAAGAAACGATTTGCAGTGGAAAGTCTTGAAGTGAAATTGGATACAGGTTTAGATCGATCTTTGAACGCTGTTATTACATGGGTCAAAAACTGTTTACAGAATGAGCAAAAAAAAACTGATTTTAAACCTGAAACGGATGTTGATACACTTCCTACACAGGTACAAAAAATTATCATTTTTAATCAGTTTTTTTACTATAAGAAATCAAGAAAATCGTTTTATATTATAGCCCTGTCAAAATGTTGTGCAATATGTAACGTCTATAGTTAAAAAAATACGCGAATGTTTGGATGGTAAAAATCTAAACTCCTTGATGTATGAGCTAGGAGTAAGATTTCATCGAGTAATATATGAGCATTTACTGCAATTTCAGTACAATTCTGCAGGTAAGAATATACTTTTAAAAAAATTCAGTTATATTATATAGAATATATTATATATAATATTTTATGAATATTAAAATATGTTTGGCTTTTATAGTTAATTAAATTTCTTGTTCTACAAATGTCGATATTACATAGTATTATCTGGTAAACTATTATATGGACTGTGTTTTCATTCACAGGGGCCATGATTGTGATTTGTGATGTAAATGAATATCGGAAATGCGTTCGGAATTTTGATTGTGAAATTGTTGTCAAATTATTTGATACAGTTCATGCTCTTTGTAATTTATTACTGGTGAAACCAGAAAACTTACAGCAAGTGTGTGAAGGTGAAACCCTTGTAAGTTTGTTATATAACGTGTGCGTACAAATTGACTAATTCTATATGATATTAAGAATAGTATTTCTTTTATTATAGGCAGAGCTGGAGTATTCTATTTTATCGAACTTTATACAGTTACGTACCGACTATAAAAGTAATAAGTTGGCTACATATCTGAAAGGATTAGCAACATAAGGCCGCATTTATTAAATAAAATAAAAAATATGCTTTAATTAAAAAATTATTGATCTAAATTATTTGATAATTTACTCATATGTGATTTAAAAGAAATTATATAATATGTTATAAATTAATACTCTAATTCAGATACAACTTGTTTAAGAGCTAATATTTTGTTCTAATTATTTTTAATTAATTAGCAATGATTTGTTTTATATTTAAAATTGTATTAAAAGGTATTGATTTATATAGTGCATTAATTAAATATCAAAGTTATATCAAAAACTGTTTTATATTTATATAACTTACAAAAATATGATTGTATAAAAAGATTTTTCATAGTTATAACATTGTGCTATTATTGGATCTTTGATGGTATCAAGACGCAAACAATGTCTTCGCCATTTTCATTTTGCAATTCCCATCTTACTTTAACTGTTACCTAAAATTAAAAATAGAAATATTAAATATAAATAATTAATCAAATTTCATAAATATGTAATATTTTTATAATGATTTTATGGACAGTTCACTTACTTTAGGATATTGCTTCAGAACAGGTAAGATAGCAGTGTACTTTTGAGTTTGTTCTGGCTCTAACGGACAAGATAAGCCTGTGCCATCACATGCATTTGGATGAGATAATGGGAAAGGAATTGGCACATCAAAAATCTCACCATGCACAACTGTGTTCACTTTTCTAACTTCAGCCGCTAAAAATATAGTGATATTCATATATTAAAATTATTTTGGATGGAGTTTTAATTTATATTAAAATGTATTAAATGCAAGAAATTTATTATTATATTCTTAATAAAGTTCAAATTTGCAGAAATTTCAAATATGCAGTTATGACTAAAAGTTGCACTGAAACGCAAATTAAAATAGTTTCAGTTTTCATTCAACTTCAATATTTTTACTTTAATCATACTGTTTAAATATATAAAAATTATTTGATTAAAAATATTTCTTGTAATAAAATCAGCCACAATAAAATGTAGAAGACAATTAAAATAATAATTTTAATAAAAATAATTAATATTAATTAATAAGTCAATTGTCGTTAAAAAATACGCAAGGATTAGGAAAATTATTCTCGTAGAGGCATCAGAAAGAAAACTAACAAGCTTGTTTTAAATCAATCGTTAGAATTTCTCCGAAAAAAATCAATCAATTGTTGAATAATTTATAAAATTTTGAATTCATAATTCGAAAATACTAAAATGCACCGTTTATTACAAACATCATTTATAAGCATGCGGATAATTGATATAGTATGAATGAAATCAATAGTTAATTCGAAATCGCGTAACTATTCGTAATAAAAAATGTAATAACTTTTATTCCGGATCGTTGAATTTTGATATAAAATTTATCATTTCTGAAATAATGTTATTTATGTCTTGTGGTATATCGTATAATAAATTTAAGAATTACGTGGTGCATGTGAATATAATTCAAAGAAGTGTTATTTGATATGAGCAGACCATGAAATGTTATATCAGGTCTCACGTGTCATGTGAAATTTAGCACGCTCGATTTATTTTTTATTCAAGTGTAAATATTCTTCATTTCTAATGAATTTTATTGTCTTATGTTGATTTATCAAAAACTACAAGCAGTTATAGACTTAAACAAGTTATACAATGAAAATTGATAAATATGAGTTCTTGGAAAAAATTTCAGTTTCATTGCTGTACTTTTACAGAAACTTACTTTATTACTACATGCTAAATTAAAGCATACTAGAATCTATTTTTATGTTCATCGTTTGTGATTATTGAGCCTTTAAAATTATTTGTTTTGTTTATGCACTGAAAATGAATCTCGATTCAACCAGAAAAATAAGAAAAACTTGTAGGAATAGAACTCCATAAATTTAATCCTATTAGATTATGAATAAGAATAGTTATTTTGTTAGAACAATTATTTAAAAAAAGTGAAATATATTAAATCTAAATAAATGTGTCCGTGATGTGTATATAATAAAATACAATTAATTTCATATATTATTTTTTTCACAAGCTTTTGTTTTACTTACAAGTCTTGAAATCAATTTCAATGGTTACATTTCTGCCTCTTCGGAGAACGCACGTTGATTTTCCTTCACATCCTGACACCCGTACTTCGGAAAAGCTACCTAATGTTGATCCTGTAAAAATAAAAAGGTATACATGAAAATATTTAGTATTGAATTTTTTACATTTTAATGACTCTTTAAATGACTTACCATACTTATTTAGAATGACATTATTTTTGTGCAACTATGTTAATATAAATTACACTTATGTACACAATTACAAAAAGAAGTTAAAATTGATTAGCTTTTCATGAACATTTTGAAATAATATTTTGAGTTTGAGTGAGTTTTTTTTCCAAATGATCATATTGAAGATCTGGTACATATAAAAAATATGAATATGTAAGATATAATAAAAATGTTATCTAAAAGTTTCTATAACGGTTTTAGATAATTCTAGAAGATAAGAAAATTGTATTTATAATTTTCTCTATAAAAACATATGTTTTGTAGTTGTACGAAATGTTAATTTTGCTTAGAAGTACTTATTACTCGATTCCCATAATCATCATAATGATTTAATATGTAATTTGTTATCGGCAAAATGTAAAACGTACCAAAACATTTTTTTACTTATTTTAAAAATATGCATCATAATGCATTACAATGCTTTGTTAGCATGTAATTTATTTAATAAACTGTGCTTTCAAAATACTATTTTTAGTAGCAAATAGTACCAAATATGTATCCATAATTAAAAACTCGAAATATAGTGCAAAACATTAATTATGATAACCAATTATCTTCAAGTTTGACGTTCTTAGTATAATGCGAACAAATTAACAGATAAATAATTGATGAAGAGATAATACTTTTTAAGCTTTCCATTATTTGAACAATAAGTAACAGTTAGAAACTACATAGTTTACATTACAATTTAATTTTAATGTAATTCATATGAGTATGTAGAATGAAAGATGTAATAAACGTTGATTTATCTATTATTCATTAATTATTTACTAATTAATTAATATGTATATTAAAATTTATATTGTTAGTTCAGCTAATTCGTTGAACAATATATTGAAAGAATCGGAAATAAACCCAGGAACAAAACAGAAAATTGTTTAGATAATTTTTAAAAACAATATCAAAATGATGAAGAAAAAAGGAACCGCTGAAAAAAGATGTATTAAATATTGTGGAAAATATATTTGTTTATAAGCAATATATATGCATGATGCATACAAATAAACATCGTATCAGGAAATGCATGGAATGATTTAATGTTTTTATATGCAGCAAGCGTCTAGAATCGATGCATCTTAATTGTTTCTTTTTATTAGCGGCATTGATATTAAAATAATCTTAAAGCTTTTTTTGGACAAGCATAGATATTTTTTTGCAATAAACTAATAATTATTAGTTCCAACGTTAAGGTTAGAAATTGGCACATACAGGTAAAGCACTAATAATAATAAGAATTCAATAAAAAAAATCAGTCAAAAAATTCACAACATAAATCGTGAAAATGTAATTTTCGATTATCAACGAGAATTTCAAGAATAGATACAGACAATTGTCTGTTTGGATTTGCTTTGTTTGAATGTAACCTAAATTCAAACAAAGCAAATCCAAACAAAGCATGTATTAATAACCAACAATAAGTAAGAATTGTTGTACATTTTTTGCCAATTTCTTTTTTTTTCTAAAATGAGGATAATTAAATGAATACGATATCGAAAATATTTAAGTTTACTTGTCTAATATATTTTTTAACATCATATTATAAAAATATGATAAAAAATAGTTGTGTTAAATTTAAGTTGTAAGTTAACATTTATATTAAAAAAATGATAAAAATTAAAAATGTTGAAATAAGTAATCAATAGTTACCACGAAAAATCAAACATATTCAAATTTAATATTATTTTTCATCTACAATTGACGATGGTCGCAAGGCCAGGATATACGCAAAGAGTCTATTTTATTAATATTTATTAACTAAAACAAAACGCTGTTTCAAGTTATAAATTACTAAAACTAGATGTTCACTTGCCAATTTCAAAATAAAATTCTATAAATGACACCAGTTAAACAACAAATGCATTTTAGTATTTGTGATTGTTGTGTTCTTTAAAGATTTAAACTACTTGGGCCAAATGAGTAAAAATTAAATCTTAAAGCCAACGATTAATTAGAAACGTCTTTATCATTAAGGAAGACAACTAACTTATAAAATTTTAATTTATGTATTAATTTATATCAAAGGAACGATAAATATTATATTTCTTGATTTATATCTATGCCTTTTCCCTTGCAAATCTTCATAAAAAAAACTAACAAATTGGTTATATGATATGAAGAAATAGCACACCAGACCCTATATTAGTGAATACTAAGTTGTCACTAGACTCTAAATATTTTCTTATTTTTTGTAAACTGACCCTTCGCTTTGAAGTGAAAGAAGAAACAGGTAAAAAGGGTCTGTTTTCAACATGTCGAGTATAACCTTTTTTTGCAAAAGTGGTAGTGACAATGTGAGCAATTCGTTCTCAACGAAATACGAAAATATAAAATTTTAAGCTCGAAATATATGTATGAATACTGAGACTAGTATTCTGCCTCGTTAGCGTCATAGTAATTCACATCTAATTGTGATATATTTTTTATGATTCTTTGCTACTGATGTAATATAAGCTAGTATAAAATCTGAGAACCATCTTCAGTAAATATAAGGGTCTATTTTAGAATAAATAAATACACTTCGCATTTACCATAAATATTTGTCTTTTCTACACGAGAAGTCCAGTTGAACTTGAAATTCTCGATTTTCAAGTGTAAAAGCTAAAACTTTATCAATATTGACATCAATGTAATATAAATCATTAGATATGTGAGAAAAAATCTAAATAATTCCAAGCAGTTTTTGTCAAGGAAGACCGTTCAAGTAATAATTTCTTTAATTATTTAGACCTTGAATGTGGTAATCAAGAGAAACCGTATGACACTACTGAAGCTGGACTGGTTCTTTTGAGTGTATTTATATAATTTGAAAGCAAATTTATTATATGAAATTATTCCTAATTTGTTTTTATCTATCATGTGTAACAAATTAATATTGGTTGTGCATGGTATGAGAATGCAATTTATATTAATGATCATGATGAAGTGCGTGCAGTTGCATAGTAACAACACTTGAATTGAAAATATTGAACAAAATTATTATATTTTGAAAAATGGAAATTTGAAAGAGCAATTTATATAATGGCACATTGTTGGAATTCTATTATCATTATTATTAGTAACGTGTAACGTCTTGAGAAAGACAAATTGATTAGAAACTTAAATTTATAATTGCTTAAAAATTTGAATCACAAAGCAATAACGTACGTAATAGTAATTAATAGTAGAAATTTCAATTGTGCATAATCATTTTTTAATGGTACAATGAAATGTATTTAGCTTTAACATTAGATTTCTCGATCTCGAGAAATTTATTCATTCTATATGTTATTCATGGGGCGCGAGTTTGCTTTTTATTAAAAAAAATTGATGGTCAAATTAAATTTGAAGATTTTTATTTTTTCCAAATTGAAGTCTAATATGTAAACCCTATATGAACCGAAGTTTTATTTTACATAAAAAATCTCTTTAAACACTCTTTTTTGGTATTAATGAATTATGTGACTTTCAAGGCACAGAGGACTATAATGTTCTTCTGTGCATAAATTGGTTGGAGATTCTGAGAGAAGCAATGGTCATGAATATTTATATTATTCGAAGAAAGCCATTATTTGAAAAAAAATTTGGAAAATTTGGAATGTGACCTGAAAGTTACGTAGGCCCTTAGAAGGTTAAAAATCGCTATATTGTGAAGCAAACGCGACATCGTTACCACATGTTTTTTTACCTAAAAATTATTTGTTGTAAACATTGCTCACTATTGTAAGTATTAGAGATATGCCTGTTTTACACCGAAGAATAAAAAAATCAACTAGAATGATTAAAGATTGTCTAAAAACGCAATTGAAAAAAAATTAATCTAATTAATGCGCGATTGTTTTTTTTTTCATTAGCTCAATTTTTATGTATTTTCCTTATATTATACATTACATATTCGAAATTTTTGATAAAAAGTATACAGTTTCTGTTATCAATTTTTTTAAATATTCGATAGGTCAAGGTTTTGTAACGATCTTCTTTAAATAACAAACTTATGTGGAGAAGCAGATAAAAATGGCAATGATAAGATGAAAGTTATCCTGTAGAAACGATTCCCAAGAACTTCCTGATTTGTAACTCATTGTCAGAGATATAAGTACAACATGTTTTTGGTGATAACGATTGAGATATTTACCGCTATTATCAAATATTCAACCGATTTTATTTCAATAAAGTTCATGTTAAAATGAGTCAGTTTATTAACTGAAAATGGTAGAATTGAACAACAAATAAAACTAGCTGTAAGTGGAATTCTGTCTTAAGGCAATTAAGGCATCGTGCCTTAAGGCAAATTGCTGGAACTTCCCGTACCAAAAATTATTATTTTTTAAAAAACGATTAACATTTTTGAAAAAAATTTACTTCGAAAAAATAAGATTTTTGAGAAACTATAAATTGGACAAAAAATTACATTTTTTTGAAAAAAAAAATTAAATAAATTTTATAATTAAAAATATAAATCGACTAAGCGCCGCGTCGCTGTTTAACGAATAAACATTGGTACGGAACCCATTGGAATGTAAACTAAATTTATACTCATTGCTAAATTTATACTCTATAAAATATCTGATAATTTGATGTGCATATGTCTAATGATCATTTTTGACCGCCAAATGGCATTTTTATTTACTTTATTCGTTGGATCCCCGAAACCGTTAGACCTGCCCTTATGATCAATTCTTCATCTTGTCAATATAAGTAAAATGTTTTTTGAATTATTAAAATCGGACGCTCCGTTCTCTTAAAAACTGAGGTACCGTTGTTGGCACTTTTTGCCCCATATCTTCGGAACGGCTAGACCTGCCTCCGCCAAAAACTAATCAGCAGGTCTCGTTATCAATACGAATCGAATGCTTTTTAAATTATTTAAATTGCTTCATCCGTGTTCCCGAAATCGTCGACGAAAATTTGTATCCGCACACACATACATACACGCACACACACACACACACATACATCCATTTTTTCTAAGGTATGCCAAAATATTCAGAAACCTCTGAAACGTAAAGATATATAAAAATTTTCATTTTCGAATTTTTTGCGATTACTATAACTTACCTTACGGGAAGTTAAAAAAATTCATTACATTATTTAAATTACACAAATTAGACGTATTTAAAATAGTCGTATCATAATTATTTTAGTCTAAAATTCAAAACAAGAGCAAATTAAATACCTCAATGACTCGACACAAAAAACAAAGGATAGTCTATAAAAAACAACTCACCACAATCTTCAATCGCTGCACTGGCTAGACCAGCGACGAGGCACACTGCCAAAACGGTGGCTGTCGTCGACCACATATTTCCGAACGAATTTAGTTTGATATTTACAAAACTAGAACAGATTTTAGGTCAGCACTGATAGCGTGACAAGTTTGAGAGAAATAAGAATCACGAGGTCTGCTCGGCACTCGCGTGTTACTCTCACTGGCGAAGTCCAGGCTCAGACTGATCGCCCAAGAGCGGTCGATTCTGCAAAATATACTACGGACTACGGACGAACAGAGCGAACGGCCGGACAGACGACGTCCGACGTCCGACCAACGGTGACGTCATCGTTTGTGCTTCCAACTGACACATATTCATCAAGTTGTTATTCTTTTGTGTGACAAGACAAGAGACTAGATGTGTCATGCCTGCATTCACCATTTGGTTATTCGATGAATAAACAACAGTTGAAGATTATCGATAACATGCACAACGAAACAGAGCTTTCATTGTTTGATAACAAAGTTCGACGGTGTGACTCATTTGCATTTTATTACCTTTTATTTGATACTGAATTATTCATATGCATATTTAATTCGTCTTCATTTTGCATATGTTAACTATGAATATTTCCAAAACTGTAATTTTAATGGATATACAGTAAAACCTCCTCCTTCGCGGTGGATACGTTCCGTAACTATGGCATCATGCCTTAAAGCAAATTGCTGGTACTTCCCGTACCGTAATTAAAAATCTTGGCACTGAACCCAAAAAAAATTATATAGAATGTGTACACATTATTAAAATCTCTATACAATATCTGGCAATTTGATGTACATATGTCCAATAAACAGTCATTTTTTAACTTCCCGTAGGGTAAGTTATTGTAATGGCCCAAAATCTAAATTAAATTTTTTTATATTTCTCGACTTTTTGAAAGATTCTGAACATTTTGGCATACCTCAGAAAAAATGAATGTGTGTGTGTGTATGTATGTATGTATGGATACAAATTTCCAGTCACGTTTTCGGGCGCACGGATCAACCGATTTGAATGGTTCAGAAAACATTCAATTTCTATTGATAGGGAGAAGAGCTGATTAGTTTTTGGCAAAGGCAGGTCCAGTCGTTTCGGCGATACGGAGCAAAGAGTGCAGAAATTAGAAATCGAGTTTTTGAGTGAACGGAGCATCCGATTTGAATGATCTAAAAAACATTCAATTAGTAACGATTGGGAAAATTGATTATTAGTTTTTAGCAATGGTAGGCCCAGCCATTTCGAAGATACAGAGCTAAATGTGCAAAAAATGGCAGTTTTTGAGAGAACTAAACGTACCAAATGATTCAAAGAACTTTCAGCTTGCTTTAACAAAATAATTAATTTTGGAAAAAAATTGTATCATTTTTTTTGTATATCGAAAATAATTTTGACTAAAGTTCTAATATACTTTAAACAAATAATTTTAAATTTGCAATTCAGTTTATATAATTCTTATAAATATTAGACAATATTACAATATTTATAATAATCTATTTGAAAACATTCTATATTCCTCGAACATTTCGTTACGGTACGGGAAGTTCCAGCAATTTGCCTTAAGGCACGATGCCATACACCCCACTAGTTTAACTTATTTTTATTGAGAGTCTATAACCGCTGGCCCAGCCTTCCCAAAAATTCAATCAGTTCTTTAATCAGTACAAATAAAATCTTTTTTGACTTACTCCGTTCTCTTAAAAACCGAGTTACCGTTTTTGGCACTTTTTGCCCCGTATCTTCGGAACGGTTAAACCTGTCTCCGCCAAAAACTAATGAGCACGTTTCCTGATCAATACGAATCGAATGTTTTTTGAATTATTCAAATCGGTCGATCGGTATTCCCGAAATCGTCGACGAAATTATGTATCCGCACACACACACAAACACATGCATTTTTTTCTAAGGTATGCCAAAATATTCAGAAACCTTTGAAACGTAAAGATATATAAAAGTTTTGATTTTCTATTTTTTTGCGATTACTATAACTTACCCTGCGGGAAGTTAACTAGTAGTGCATGGCAACGTACCTTAATACAAAATGCTTGAACTTCCCGTATCGTAATTTAAAATTTATAAAAGCTTCCCCAAAAACAAATCAAAACGTCTTCCTATCTGTAGAAGTCGAATCTATGCTCTCGAAAATACATAAATAGTACACACATACTTACACACATCCAGTTTTTTTTTTCTAAAGCCAATATGTTCAAAAACCTTCGGAACGTAAAGATATGCAAAAAAATTATATTCAATCATTATACTGTTACTAAAACTCACCCTACGGGAAATTAAATATTCTACCTATTTTTCAATTCAGTTGTAGATAGGGTTTCATTCATCTAAATACTCGTATATCTGAAAATGCGTGAACTGCTTTTTTTCAGTTTAGGAAAATAACTGATAGAGACAAATAGTAAAAGCCTAATACCAAAAAATGAATTAAAAATCAAGGTCAAAACTTCGCAGTTGTAACTGCCCGATCAAATGTGGATTTACAAAAATAAATAATCGTTTTTTTCAGAGATCAAGGCCACAACAATATCGATAAACATATTTTGAAGACGAGGCCAATTGAGTCAAGGCAGATCATATACACAACTTTTGTTAAATTTACTGGAAAAGTCAACAGAATATTATTGACACACGCAAGGAGACCCATTAGCCATATTGCAGATGAAATTAATTAGCATGCATGAGAATTCAACAGTTCTGATCTTAGATCGTGATTAACCACGTGTAATTCATTCATATTAACTTGAATTTCGTAGAGTCATTTAAATTAATTAAAAATATTATTAATGGGTACTGGATTATGTGCATTAAATAACCCATTCACAAAAATAATAAGCGAAACTTGATATTAAAATTAGATTTCTATAAAAAATGTATTGAATCTCTTACAACCGAATCATGAACGCTAGAAAGGATAAGCGTTAAAATTCTAACTTAATTTGAATACAGACGCTTGATTTATTTTGCGTCATAATAATACATGGGTCGGTAAAAAAAATTAAGTATTTTTTGTGTTATCAAACAACAACACTTTTTGTATAAAATTGCTTATTAACATATTTCATGTCACACTCACACGAAATCGTTTAGCGCTTGTTAAAAACAATAAAAAACGTGAATAGATAAAGAAATATTGTTACATTCGCCACTGCAAATATTTGTGTACGTAAGTGTAAAAACGACTGATTTCGCGATTCCATATAAATTCTTTGTTCGGCAATGTTGAGGTGTGGTTTGATGTTATAAATATTGCGTATGTAAGTAAATGTTTTTATGGGGACATGTAATATTTGACTCTATTCATTAGCTTATATAGAGTAAACAATAATTAGTTTTAAATAGTTACAGGTGACTAAAATCACCTTAAAATAAATTTCAAAACGTTATTTATTAAATATATACATTAAATTTATTGGCATAATTATGCAACTATCCGAATATTAGGAATTGTTCTATTAATTCCTGTCTCAAGACCTAATAGATTGGCCATCATCATATATATGCCAATTCTCGGATAAAATTGAAAAGTTATGCTACCGGTTTATTATGTTGAGTATAGTCGCATGAGTTGGTAGACCCAAAACTTACAAAAAGCTATGTTTTTTTCCACGCTAAAACGTAACTTCCAAATGGCATAAATTCAATTAAATCACAAATATGCATTCACAAAAATATATAATAAAAAAAAAATTAAAGAAACAGTAGATCATCTGTTTCACGGAAAACAGTAGAAGAGGGTGAAGCATTTTTGTTGCAACCCCATGATTATTTCGACTACTCCACAAAAGAGACAGGTAACATAATATAGCTATTTTAGTCGAGAATTGGTCCAATAACTTTGATATAAATATAACAGTTTCTTGGTTTGCCAGTTAACTTTAGATATTTTCTGTTTAATAGATGTTTTAACATAGTCATGGAAAAAATATGATTTTAGATAATTTGGAAATAATTTATCTAAAGTCACATTGTTACATAATACATGATTTGATGGTTAAGATAATAGTTTAATAATATTACTAAAAAATTCAATGCCAAAATATCTAAAGAAGGACGAAAAGAAAAATCAATGTCTCTAAGCGGGAAAGTATAGAAGAAAATCTCTACCAGCAATAAAAACGTGCTGAGTACTTTCACTTTCGCAAAGCAGACACGCGAAGTCGCGAATATTCAATATTATTTGTTTCATATGCAAAATTTTGCTTTGAAATCGTTATTTTCGTAACATGACACCGATATATTAAGCATTTCGCATGTTAATTTGTTGATTTTTTCTTATCCACCAATATAAAGACAGGCCGAAAAAACTGGAAAAACAAAACAGCAAATACCAAATTCTATGACAAAAAAGTTAGGTTTTATCCATTTTTCAGATATCTAAAATCTAAAGGATTAGTCGTAAAATTTAGTATTTGCTGTTCTGCTCTTTAGCTTTTTCGTCCATTCTTTATATTAGAATAACTTCCAAATTCATCTAAAGTTTAGAGAGTGATAAGTGGTGGAAGCTAAGGAATCCTAATATTTAGGAAACAGTACATGCAGATAATTGATGCTGCTGGAAATATAAAAAAGCTTAAGAATCGGACAGTCATTTTACTGTAATTATACTTTGCGTATAAGGTGTTTATTTTGACAGTATTACTGTATTACCACATTTTATTATGTATTATATAAACAGTTTTATATCACAGAGTAGTTATCAAGGTCGCTCGAACACGAATATAAGGCTAATAAAACTAGTCCTCTTAATTGCTGTTTCCATGTTTAGTTGAAAAAAACTTGCTTACATAATTAAAATGTGAATAAGACAAAAAATATATATCGCATTTATATCCAAAGGTCTTACCTAGTGACCAAATTTATATAAAGCAAAAAGTTGATAATTGTTGAAGTTATCTGTTGTTGATATGCAGATTAAAAATTCCAAGTTCATGGAATTATTTTATAAGATCAAACAAGGAAATAATTTCACTACGCTTAATAATATAAATAATTCAATCAAAATGATCATTAGTATCAATATAATAACATAAAATATGCATATTGTTAATGTGTTAACTTGTAATTCAAAGTTAAAATAAATATAAATATATTCAGTCTCATGGAAAATTTGTTATGTATTTTTTATAACAAAAAAGTTATAATTTCAGATGCTACAAATTAGCGATAATAAAACTG